TAATATTTCATTAACTGTCTCCCAATGGAACAGCCCAGCCATGAAATCTGGAGATGATACTAGCTAGAGAGCATCACAGTTTCAGAGAAGCTGCATCTGTATCCCCCCCCCCACCCTCCGGTGATCCACTCTAGGAGGGCCTACTCAGGTCTCCAGCCATCACCCCTCTCTGGGTGGGAACCCCCTGTCCCACCTCCTTGTGGTGTTTAATGCTGTATAAAAATTGAGCAGTGGTAAATAGTTGTGAAGAGAATGATCCAGTAGAAAAGACAATCTTAGGAAGGAGAAGTGCGGGAAAGGAGCATTATACTGTATTGTACTGAAAGCTGGCACTTATAGAGGATTTTACATCTATAACACACATACAAACATTAGCTACCAGCTCCTTGGGAAGAAGATAGAGAATGGGATTGTCATCAACATACACGTAACATTCACAACTTTGCAGTAAGACAATGACTATAATCAGATCTCATGCTTCAGGGCTTAATCCAGTCACCTGCCTGGGTCAAGATGGAATTCTGGGAAGGCCCATATTTGTGTTTTGTTTTGTTTCTTGCCCTCCTCTTAAACATCAGACATTAGCTAAAGAGGGAGCTGTGACACTGGATGGGCTGGACCAGCGCTCTGAGGTGCTACAGAGAAACCTCTTTCTAAGATATCTGGCAGGTGTGTCTTTTCCACATGCTCAGGGTCAAACCGATTGTCAGATTTGGGGTCAGGAAGGAATTTCCCCCCAGGGCAGATTGGCAAAAAGGGACCTTGGGGCATTTTCATCTTCCTCTGAAGCATGGAGCATGGATCGCCTGCCAGGATTATCTAGCCATCTGTCACCTAGTCAGTTCCCTGCCATTGCAGGGGCCTTGGCCTTTGGTGGTACCTTCGTCGCTCCTACTTTCTGCCTGTCGCACACAAGAGCTTATTCTACTGAGGACTGAAATGCTTTAGTCTAAGTGCATCTTTGGGCTCAAACCTACGGGTATCTGGGTGAAATGCAGTGGCCTGTGTTATACAGGAGGTCAGACTAGATGTTCTAATGGTCCCATCTGGCCTTAAAGTCTATGAAAAAAAAGTGTTATCACCATTTTGCAGATAAACACCAGCGTAGGGGAAGAATTATTTAAGCTGCTCCAAAGGGGAATAACCAGGAATAATGGGATGAGATTAAAAAGGGAACATCTAAGATGAATGTGAGGAAGCTTCCTGACAGCGAACTAGCCCTGGGAACCATCATCAAAGGGCTGTTGTGGAAAGAAACCCTGTCACTTGGCTCAATTAAATTCCAGCAGTGGGAATGTGCTGTAGGGTTCAGGCTCGCACTAGGCCTGAGGGGGAGGGGCTGGATGATCCCATAGTGTTTCCCATCTCTGGTTTCTATGATCCTGTACAAACCCTGACCTTTGTTTTCAGGTTCCAGAAGACCCTTGGATCCCTTCTCTGAGGCCGTGTACGAGGAGATTGATTATAACCTGATGACAGAGAAGCAGGAAATGTTCAGTCGCTCAGGTCTGTGGGTCTCACTCTTAACAGGGAGCAGATATATAGTGCCCTTTCCGTCTGACGCCCTGACCCAGAGTTCAATCACTGCAGCTTCAGCCCTGGGAGCTTGTCATTGGAGCTGGGCACAAGTCTTCATTACAAAATGTTGTGGTGAAAAATGCAGATTCACAGACACTGAAACATTTCACAAATTCCTGTCAATTTCACCCAATTGTTCCAAATACACACTAAACAATTCATTTCATTTCAACACTTTCTAAAGAAAACATTTTGTTTGTTCAATTTGATATTACTTTTCCATTAGAAAATGTCTTTAATTTTATCTATAAAAACAAACAAACAAAAATTAACTAATGTCCAAAAGAACACTTTTTTTAACTTTTACATTTGCCAAAAATTACCAAAAAAAGAGTCATTTTTGGCTCAGTTCAAAACAATGTTGTTGTTTTTTCCTTTTTTCCCCAATGGCCAGAGAACCAAACCATCTGTTGTTGTTGTTGTTTTTTTTGCCAAGCTCTAGCTGTGGGAGCTGGGTCTGTGGTGAGACCAGCAGTTACTCATGTAGACTGAGGGAGACGGGCTTCCTTCCCACCATACACTGAGTGTCCCTGTTCTAGGGATGGTTAATGTCACTCTGCCTGTCCTGTAGCCTTGGAGTCTAACCAGTGAGGGGTCAGGAAAGTGATTGTCTGGGGCCAGGCTAAACTGTCATTTGAAAACTGCCCTGGAGCATTGGTGCAGGGGATGTTCTGTGCCCCCCTCCCACCGCAGCCCCTGGTCTGCTGGGTCAGCTCCCTCCTGCCTCTGAAGCAGAGAGCTCAGCCCAGGAGAGCCTCATGACTTTGAGTCACGGCCCTTTTATCCTTTGTGCTATTTTGTCTCAATGTCTGATGGGAACATCCTGCCCAAGGGCTGTGCTGTGGTGGGGCTCTGGGAACATGCTCAGGGCAATCCCAGCACCACTGCCAAGATGGTTACAGTGAATCACAGACTCTGCTCTGGGCTTCTCTTGCCCTAATCTGGGAACACCATGGAGAGGTGATTGACTGATTCATGAGGGAGGTGAGTATTTATCCTTAAGAAGGAGGAGTCCCCTCTGTGGCTGAGGAGGCCAGGACTATTGTGGAACTTCCCTGGACCAGCAGCCGGAGACGTTCCCTTCACTCACCCCAGCATCTTTCAGGTCAGATTGTAGCACCCCTCAGTCACATTTACCACAGTGACATGGAGATTTCTCTTGGGGACTCTGTGTCAGCCTCTCACCACTCAGAGTCGCTGTGAGTCACCATCTCGTGTACAAGAAGGAATAGACTGAGACTGGAAATCCTGCTCCTGGCCCCAGATGTGTTCCCAGTCCCACAGTTCTGCTGTTCTCACTGTGATGAATTTCTGGTTCTCGTCTCTCCAGTCTCCTATTCAGGTGACTCAGTGACAAAGCTGCAGTATTACACCGGGGACAGCGAGGGGGAAAACGATCCTGGATCAGAACAAGGTAACGGGGGTGGGGCAGACTCAGGCTGAGAGACCCAAATCTGGGCAGAGAACAGAATTTCTATGACACTTTCTGTAATCGCAGCCATTTCCCCTCCCACGGTTCCCAATGTACACAGTCGGGTCTAATCCCATTGAACAGGATTTCTGCCAGAATCTCAGGATGGGAACATGTGACCATCTCCTGAGCACAGAGCCTAGGGAGTGGCTCCCAGTGACCTCCCCAGGTGAGGAGCTGGAGGAGACGGGTCAGTCGCTTTGGGTGGAAGGCGTCAGTGCCCAGCAGGGCTCGTCTCTCACCTCTGAGAGAGACAAGAAGATTGTCCTGTGTTATAATTACAGATGGGCTCAACCCAACTCACTGATCCGAACCCACCAGAACTTTGGGGGAGGGGGATTTGCAGATTCTGACCCCAGCTCTGGATCTCAGTTTTGGGGCTGGCACCTGTTGCTATAACAGGCAGAAGCAAACCCCTGGATGTGAACTTCCTGCCCTGGGCCCATCTCTAGTTATAAACAGGGCGGCATTTCTACCCCAGCTGCTCTCAAGGGAGTCCATGATTTGGGCCCTGTGGGAGTTTAGCCTGTGGCTGGGGGAGGAGACACTGAGCAGATGAGCCAGTTCTGCTGAGAAGCTGGAGCGCTGCCAAGCTGAGCCCTGGGCTGCCTGAGAGGCTAGTGGAGAGCAGGAGCTCACAAAGGATCAGGCCAGTGACCTCCCAGCGGGAGCTGTAATTCCTGCAGAGGGGAGGTTCCCCCTCCCCAGTGTAACAGGAAAATTCAAACCTGTCTGCAGAGATCAGCTGGATTCACACAGGCCGGCTCTGGCCTGGCAGCGCCCGTGTCCCAACCTGGTATCTCAGCACAAGCCGAGATCCTGCTCCCACTGAAACACATACAAGAGCTGCTGTTGGATTCTGCAGGGACAGGATTGGCCCCTAGTTATTTCTGGGACTCCTTTTTCACTGTAGTTCTCTGACTTGTGCCCTTCTCACCATGGGCCCCTGCGACTTCCCCTCTCATGTGCCATGATAAACAGCTCTAGTTATAAAGGCCACCTGCGCTGAAGAGACCCTGCTGGTGCCAGGGGCTGAGTGTGGCGTTTGCTGTTTCAGAGGGAGCTTCCCCGGGGGGGTCTCAGATGGATTATGATAACGTGGAGGAGCCTGCCTTGAACGACATCCCCCAGTCTCCAGATGGCCGAGGTGAGGAGTGAATCCTCCTCCTGAAACCAATGTCACCCTGTCGAAAAACTAAATATGTTTCCCAGTCGGAACAATAATGGTTTGTTAAGAAAACCACAAAGTTCACCCACCAGTATTGTCTATTGGCATAATGCTGGGGGCACTGACCAGGTGCATTCCAAGAGCTGTGTGGAATCCCAGGGGTAGGGAAAAAGAACAGGAGTACTTGTGGCACCTTAGAAACTAACACATTTATTAGAACATAAGCTTTTGTGGACTACAGCCCACTTCTTCGGACGCATATAGAGTGGAATAAATATTGAGGAGATATATATACACACACATACTCAATATTTATTCCACTCTATATGCATCCGAAGAAGTGGGCTGTAGTCCACGAAAGCTTATGCTCTAATAAATTTGTTAGTCTCTAAGGTGCCACAAGTACTCCTGTTCTTTCTGCGGATACAGACTAACACGGCTACTACTCTGAAACCTGTCATTATGCAAGGGGTAGGGAAGCGTGTGATGTTCTAGGTCATGACAGAGGCCCATTGCAGGATGGAAGGAGCAATGTGTTCAGGAGCTGCCCACGCGGTACTTGGCTCAGGTCACTGCCCTGGGAACCTCACTGCCATGAGCACTAGGGTTATTCACCATTTGTAAAGAGGGCACATCGAAGCAGAGATGTCATCAGTGCTGCAGTGTTCCCTGCCAGCCTTTCCTGGCACATGTCTATTCCAGCTTATATACATCTGTGTCAGACACACTGGGACAGGGGGGTGGGTGGGACAGAAATTTTACACCCAAGGTCCCACCCTTATTAACCGGCTCAGGTCCCAGTGGTGTCAGTACGTTTGAGTCTGATGGCAGTTTATGGGGTAAACTTTATCAGGAGAACGCATTGAAAAGACATTTTAAAAATAATGTCAAGTTTAGGAAACCGGGAACAAACGCTGGACAATTCCAAGTCATTTACATTTGTAATTATTGAAACCAAATACCTTGTGGAACAATCCCTCTGGACTAGATCCCAGTCACCTCTTTCTAGAACTCCCTGTCCCCTCATCATCTGGGAGCTCTAGGATCCACTCAAGCAGCTATTGAAATGTATCAGATCAATGTGATATGTAAAACCCCTCAAGCTGAGGGTTCCAGAGGAGGACTCCTCTTCCTGCTCTGAGGGTGGAAGTTAATTGCTGAGAGATCCCCAGGGACTAGTGAGGCTGGTGCATCTGCAGCTTTTAGTTTATTTCTACCTTCACTGTGAATATTCTCTTAATTACTTCACATCTTCACATCAGATACCCCTGCCCTGCCTGGAGATGTCCCAGGGGATGGTTATGATGATGCCAGAGAAGTGTCTGACCCTGAAGAGGACCCTGCTTTGGGGCAGAATGATGAGCAAGGCACTGGGGCAAGCGACAGGGACAGGGATTCACAGACAGGTGAGTGGAGAACTGTTTGCACTTCACAGTGTCTCTGCAAAGTGGGAGGGCTGGAAATGTGGGGTACACAGCAAGGGAACAGCCCTGGCCAAACCAATGCCTGTGAGAAAATCTTTCCTTCTCTCATCTCTCCATTCCCTCAAATCAGAGGCATTAGTGCCTGCCATGGGGAGAGGAACAGCAGGGTCGTGGTCAAACCAGCAAGATACCTAGGATCCTTCTGCCTCTAGGTTCCAATCCTTGTGTGGCTGCCACACCTTGGATGTGCTGGATTCCCACCATTTCACTGGGCGTGTATCTTTTGGGCAGAATCCTATGAACCAAAGTCCTGTTGCTGCTGCACCAGTGTTAAAAAGCCCATGACACATCCTGTAAAATCTGGGATGGGCTTTGCCCATTGTCCTTGGCCAATATCTCCCCTCTCTTCCCCATTGTGTCATGAGCAGAGACACCCCATCAGCCACCCCAAAGGAGGTGCAGTGGTGATGAAATGTGCATTGATTAGTACTTGATAAGAATAAAGTGCTAATGTTCATTGCTAGGGCAGAGGGAAAGTTATGATGTTCTTAACTAAGCGCTCCTCGCTGGTAAGTGTTTGGGTTTTGTACATGAAGTGACAGGTAGCTACAGCTGGTGCTTGGCAACTTTACCTGCTCTGGAAACCA